TATAAAAAAATAAACATGCAAACATATATCAAATTCATACATACATATATACACAAAAATTGAACGCATCTGTGGTTGTAGAGCTGAAAACAGTGGAGCCGGTGGAGAAATTCGTCGGACACGATGGATGTCGCCGGAGACAGTGGTCGTCGCTGGAGACAGGCGGCAACAGTGGCGTTGATGTGGTGGTTCTAAAAGCCGGAGATTAGAGAAATCTCCTTAAAACCACCAAAATCAAAAAAATTAGAGAAGAAAGAAAAGAAAGAGAAAGAGAAAGAGAAAAGACAGTGGAAATGAGAAAGGGAAACGCACCTTCGCCGGTGGAGAAGTTCGTCCGAGACGGTGGTGAGCTGAGGTGGTGATAGTCGCCGGTGGAGCAACTGGAACCCGGTGAGAAGCTGCAAATCCCTCCGGCGGAAGAAGTGGGATGCACTGAGATTCGCCGGAAAATGCTTCCTGATTGTCGCCGGAAAAAATGAGAGAGAAATGGAAACTGGAAAGTAATCAGGTTCTGCGACATGATGGGGAACAAAATGTGGAACCCTTTGGGGGCGACACCTTCAGGGACGACTTTGAATATTTAGAGACGACAATTTTGAGGGAAATTCACGCGCTCATATTTTCGCCACCTTTAGCGGCGACAACGTCATCCATTGGATCAGGATGCAATTGTTGGGACAAAAATTGATCCGGAAGCATTCACGCGGATCGCCGATCAAACCCTTTCGCGATGTCCTTATTAGCGACGACGTGAGGCTTTAGCGACGACAAAAACGCGTATTGTCAAGTGTCGTCCCTAAAACTTTGTGTCGTCCCTAAAGCTTATATTTCTTGTTGTGATAGTAAGCTTGAAAAAATATTTACCAATCAGTGGTATTTTTGAAAATTATTTACTATAACATAGTATTCTTTTTTATAGAAAATAAAACAAATTTGTCTTTAATTTTATCATTATCACATTGATTTTATTATGTATCAGCCACTCAAACCACACAAAACAACACCCGACACACTTAGGGACATGGGGCTTTAACTATTCAATTAAAAGAATTTTTCAGATTTAAAGCCTTTATATACTCTTCAATTTTGCCTTTTAATTGTCTAGCAGCCTCTTTAAGATCCTAAAACTTTAGATCCCGTCAAAGAGGCCGTTAGTCATCTTTTTCCGGCTACTCATCTATAACCTTTTAGGCCAACTTCAAATCCCTTGTAAGAACCTTCCAATATTTTAGAGGAAAAGTTATCCTTTTCCATCGACTCCATAATGTTTTCGTGGAACTTCATATAGTGTTTTCTTGGAACTTCATATAGAATCACTAGGTACATTTGATTCAATATAAACTTTCTAACGTTGTACATATAATTTTTTTTTAGTTACATATCATTTTTAATGATTTTGAACCAAAACTAAATTATTAAAACTATTTTTTTTTTGATATATAACATTTGTATTACATAGCAAATTGGTTTTTCGATACTAGAGTTTTTAACGTTAATGAATTTATAAATTGAAAATATTATTTTTATATAATATTAGAATGAGATAAGAAAAACAAATTAATTAAACAATTAAATAGTAAAAACTTAAAAGTAATAGAAAAATAGAAATTACATGTTAGGGTGTTTGTTTGAATGTACCAATATGATTGGATCAAGTGAATCCATTTTCATTTTCAAAATATAAATATGAATAATCCAAAAGAAATAAAAATTTGATCCCCATCAACAAAATTTTTATTTAGTTAGATTGGTTTTTGCAACTCAAATTTCAAAAATCGAGACATTATAAAAAATATTAATCAGGTTGTTTTTTTAATAAAAAAAATTAAATCTACAATATAATCATTGGATATTGTGTAATCTAACCGATATAAATATCATATTCGACAAAAATTACCATTATTTTTTTTGTTTTTGGTAAATCACCACAATGCCCGAAACAACGCATTCCAGAGTCGGATCCAAGATTACAGATAAAGCCCATTTTGGAATCCAGTCTAAGATTCCGGACTAGCCATTTCTGAGTTGGAGTTTTTGTAGTGTGCTCATTTTAAATGAAAATCTAGAGTGAGCTTTTGTAGTGTGTTCATTTTAAATTAATGGTTAGTCATTTGTAGTGTTTATATTTTTGTGTTTAATGATGGTTAAGTGGTCGTTAATTTTGATATGATTTTTGAAAAAAAAAATTGTATTGCAAAATCAAATAAATCTAGTGCAAATATGATAATTACAAAAACTTAAATATGTTTAAATAATAATCTAACGTACAAATGGACGCCTACTTTTGTGTTGTACCTCATGCAATTTGTGCAAATCGAACTCGATATCACTTGGCCAAGGTTCGAGCGCTACTCTCTATTCTCCCAAATTGACCATCAGTCAACCTCTCTTGGAACCAATATTAGAATACTCCACAATCCCCTTTATGAATGATCTATATGCTCAAGAATCTATACGAGCTAAAACTCCAGAAAAAACCCTTTTTGTCGATTTCGTAGATTTAGCCGGTAATCCCACCTTTTTTCCTTAATTTTTTCAAAATATTGAGACTTTTTTTAAATATTACCCTATTTTTAACCATTAACCAAATTATTTGGACATTTCTAAAGATTATCTTTGAATTAATGTATATAATTATTAACAAATTATTTATAAATGTAACACATATTCTTTTATTATAAACAAAGAATATACAACTGTTGTTAATATCTAGGAATAGAAATGTAGACTTAGTATTTCTCTATTGTTTGCTGACCACTTCAAACTCTCTATATTCCTCGTATGCATCTTTATCTATATGTCTTTGTGAGATGTACTCTATGGGTGTTCCTTTTATATTCTTTAACCTAACTACCACATAACCTCCATATATTACCTGATAACAACCATCAGCAAACACATATATCGAGAGTGAAAAGTAAACTTTGAATGATAGTTTAAATATATATATATATATATATATATATATATATATATATATATATATATATATATATATATAT